CCCGAGCCCGTCGTGCCCACCCTTCTGCGGCCCCGGACGGCGGCCTGGTCCCTACCCCACCCAGGGTCCTTGCCTCTTCATTCCGCCCTGCGACTCCTCCCCCGTGCTATCCAAACCCACCTCTTGGCTGTGTCTGTCTCCACCTCAGTGACCTTACACCTCACCGGCTGGCCCCATACCTCACAGGTAACCCTTAATTCTTACGCATTGGTCGCCAACCCCAGCATTTCCCAGGGATCCACCAACCCAGTGACTCCCTCAGTTCGAATCAGTGACTCACAAGTACCCAAGATCTATCTCCACATTCCTCTAGTGACCCCCACACTCTACCCTGTGTCCCCCACAAACTTGGTATTTCCCCTTCCAACCGCTCTTGGCAACTCCTAAGCCACACTTCAGTAGTTGCCCACCTACTCATACACATAACGCTCAGTATCTGTGTCCCTTAATCCCGTGGTCTTCAATTCCATCTTCTCCCTTCATCCTAAAATTGCCCCATTTGGCGTGGCTCTGTTCCCTCAGCCGTCTAGTGTCCGACCTCATTCTCGTGCTGAGAAAATAGAGATAAATACGAAGGAGCAGTAATTGGAGACATCGGAGAATTCTGGGGTCCCAGGTTCAAGTCCTGGCTCCACCTCAGGGAACCCGGGAGAAAACTCTCTCTCTCCGTGCCTCAGTTTCTCATCAGAATTGTGATAAGGCTGGGCTAGATGAGCTCAGAGTTTACTTCCAACTGTGAAATGTGAAATTCTGCAATTCTCAGTCAGGGTTTGCAATCATTTTTGTTCTCCACTCTAGAAGTATAGTCTTGTAACCTCAACCCAGGGTCCACTTTCATAAAGTTTTCTCCCTCCCATAAAGTTTTTCCCATGACCCCCTGCACTCTTAATTGTCCAAACTCATTAGCCTTGGTCAGGGACTCATTGGTTGACACGTTTGCAAAGCAGTGTTAGCAGAGGGTTCAGCTTGGGGTGTTGATGTCAGAAACCTAAGTTCCAGTCTAACTGGCCCTTCAGACGTGGGACTTTGGCATGCATACCAGTTAACCTGTCTGAAGCTTTCTGCTAAGAGAGGGTGGACAGTGGCCTGGAATAACACAAGCAGAGCACTTGGCACCTGGGGAGTCTTATTTTTACCTAGGAGCTCCTATAGCTCTTTGTCCTAGACTCTTAAGGATTCAACAAAGAACCAGAGACCCATACCTTGTACAGCTGTTGACATCTTGAAATCCCCATCCTTGGGCATCCTTGCCTCTCTCGTTGTTTACCTTGATACTGCCTTAATGATTGGTTTGCTGACCACCTACTGTACTCCAAGCTTTTTATGTACAAGTTTACCTTTCAGCAAGCCCAAGAGGTAATTTTTACACCCACCACCATTCCGCCCACTTTTTTTGGCTTGGTTTTAAATAAACCTAAAAGTCATACCACTAATAGGACAGCTGGAATTTGAGCCTAGTCTTTAAAACAAACATCTGACTTCATTGTTTCTCTTACCCTTTACTCCTG